GACAGCAATGTCTTCTTTATAACGACTAAAATTGATAACCGCAGTTGCCAACCCGCTTGCCAAGCGTGGCAACTATAGCAAATGTCCCCTCTATGTGGCAATCTATGGGGGAGGCCTATGTTCAGCAGTGTACTTTAATATGCTATGACGGTAACAGTTCTGTACCCAGATCGGCAACGGGCAGTAGGATCAATGGCATTTTTAAAATTATAATTAAATTATTTCTTTTTGTTTATTTAAGCTAAAGTGACTACTTGCAGTCCACCTGATGATAAGTGGCTTCTGCAATCCGTTATCACTTGCAACCAACTTCAAACAACGAAAACTAAAGAGGCTTCGTCACCTCTGAGGACTAAAATGAATTTAAAACTATATCCTTTTTTCAAACTTTACACTTGGTGGGACTTTGATCCGCATACAAAATGGGGAAACTAGAATTTCGTGCGGTTATTTAAATATTAATTTTTCTACGAAAAGTGTTCCTAAAGAACTGCAGCTTACTTTGGTAGACAATGCTCCGTCTTGTTTTATAGTGACATAATAGTGCGCTAAAACAAAAACAAACATGATTGGGCGGGATGCAATCAGAAGTTATTACTGTAACTGCATTGTAGGTTTAAGAACAGTGGGATGCTACTCACATGTTATTAGTATTATTTGGTACCTACGCCATCCTCGCCATGAGGGTATTACCCGGCCTGCCCCCTTCTTGGATGAAATTTTATAAAGATTTTTTTATTATAAGTACAATAAAATAAATGAACTTAAAAAAAAATATTTGTTATTTACCTACACGCAAAACCCCATCAGAAATTCATCATTATCAAATTGTTGCAGTCCGCTGCTCAATATAGGTATCTCCTAATAAACAATGCTGAGTAGATACCGATCCTCATCTCAATCTACCTACTTAATGGTAGAACCACGCTGTAGCTATAATACAGTTGTAGCACGAATGAGTCTGCTCGACCGGGGAATAACCACGCTCTCCCAGAATACCAGTGTAAAATAGCAGCTTAATACTGCTGTGTTTCGTATGGTGAGTGTAGAGATCCGGAGACCGTTTTTTACTGGAATCGAGGCATTTGAATCTAGTCCTCAGAGGTCACAACGCATCTGAATTTTTATTATTATTATTATTACTTAACAGGCTGGCAGTTGAAACAACTGATGTAATCCCGTATCCTATTTTCAAATATGTAATTATTCTTATTTTAGATGTTTGTCTAATCTGTTCTTGAATTGGTTAATAGTTTGCAGATATTACTTCTGATGGCAGTTTATTCCATGCTTCAACCACTCTTTGGCTAAATAAGTGCTTGTGTGGGTTGTTATGTGACATGGTTTTGGTTTAATAGTAAGATGTGTGTTTGTTGAGTACTGGAATAAATCTCTGTCAAAATTTTCCAGATCGTTTTGATATTAAATCAAGGATAAATGTAGATGTCTATCGGCCACAGCATCCACTAACCACTGACAGAAACAGACCACTAACAGACAGAACACAGTGGACTGTCTGTTCGATTGTCACCCTTATTCTATAAAAAAATATAATGGTTAGTCAAGCAGGGCAAAGTAGCGAAAAGCAATATAGAATATTTACTTTATCACAAAAACAATGTTTATTTGCCTATATGTAACGAGCTACATAGGCACACTGGGAGAGGTTTTGGCCGTCGACGGATTGTCGCTCCTGTTTTGTTGCTTGAATAATGGTTTGGAGTAGATTTTGATTCGTAAAAGTGATGCGATTTTGTGAATTGTCTGCGCGTGTGAACTATTAGAGAAAACAAGTGGTTTGATGTTGATATAATCTCCCAAAAACTGTGACGCATCAGCATATTGTGATGAAAAAAATATAAAAATGAAGATTACGAAAGAAATGATAGGCTCAGAAGGGCTAGAACCCAAAGCCGTAAAGCCAGTTAAATAAAAAACATGGAACACTAGTACATTACAATATTAGTCTATGGTCTATGAATATAATCATAGATAAATAAATATGTAGCAAGCTAAATATAATCTTAAAAATTAAAACTGGTTATAACTTTTATCTCCCAAGTTCTACCACTTAATAACTAATTAAAACCAAAAATATCCCAAAACACGAAATTTTATTAGCGGTACGAAACTCTCGTACAAGCCTGCCATTCCCCTTTATTATTTTAAGTTTCTATCACTGTTTGCTTATTAGTTAACTTTTTCAAAGACACTGGGCAAATTAATGATGGTGTGCTTCTCAGCATTGTTGTAATTGTAATTCGCTCATCAAGTGGAATCAGGCAGACAAAAACCCGCCTGGGAGAAAAAAGGAATCTTTTTATGTCCACGCTTCCTGCTTGCCCCAAGTTTGTTGGTTTACTGTCACCTTCAAACACCCATACCGAAGATTGTTACTTGCTTTGCGGAATGTAACAATATATCCTTATTTCATCTCATGTCAAGATGTCATATACATCATTTTAACATCCATCATCATACTTTAACAACATTTTTTCACCAATCAACTTAAGCCCGTTTTTGTTGTTGGGTGTGTTCATGAGGAAACTAGCGTCAACAAAGTTCTGTAACTTTTTAAATTTAGATGTTTTTTTTTTTGTTTTGGTTCATACTAATACTTTTACCAACTAATAGTTACTACGGTACCAATAATCAAATGTCTTCGAATCTCGTCATACGTGATGCACCGATTTTCTTCAATTAGCCACATGACAGTAGTTACATTTTCATTAGTGACTGCAGTTGAGGGTCGACATCGAAGAGTTTCAGCATGGAGAGTGGTTGAGCGACGGGCCTAAGGTTACCGAATTCCAATTACCCGGTCGAGCCTTAAGCCTATTACGCGAGATGTTACACCAAATGGACTGTATAAGCGGATGGCTTCTTCCGTCTCCACAAAATGGCGACTATAGCATGCGGTTTTCCTGACAATGCACTCGCTCTTCCCTAAACGAACTATTGCTTGCCAAAATCTATGAAGGAACCCCGCTTGATCACGCTAGGAGAAAATAAAATTGGAGCGGATTAACTAATAAATACAATTATGTCAAGCTGGCTTATAACTGGAAGTTACTCACCGGGGTGTTGCTTCGATGCGGCTTGGGCGCTTTGTTGCTGCGGTGCGACTTCCGGCGGATCTCCTGGGGCCCCAGAGATGCGTTCCTGTCCGGTGATGCGATGGAAGAGGGCACGCGTGGGCCGCGCGCGCGTTTATATTAGTTCGGTTGTGAAGATAACGTGACATTCTAGAACTATCTTCTTTCCCCTCTCACCCCATCACCCCGGTGTGTCGAAAGGGACAACAGGTGAAGGAAAGGTCGAAGGAAGGACAGATCTTGGCAAGCATACCGTCGAATAAAATAAAATTACGAATGGTTTTCCGCGCAACCAGAGAGAAACATTACCAAGATCAAAAGCATTTTCAAGAAGCAGTGCAATCATGCGGAGAGAGTGAACTTTTATAATCATAAAAAATCATCACACACAGTCATTTCCAGTTTTGCTAGAAAAGACGACCTTAAAAAATATTTCCAAATAAATTAAAGTTAGTTCCTTCCTGGTACTACTCTTTAATTGTTCGTGAAATTTGATCACAATTGGTTAGGCCAAACCAAAAACTACGGACGTACAGATAGACAGACAGAGGGAAAAAGAATTTAAAAATAGTTTAGTAAATAATACGTAAATGCACCCCAGTGAATAAAAAAGGAAACCCAGGCTTTTTTGGGCATCTTTGTAATTTTGGGCTATTATATTCTACCACATATTGATTTATACTGGTCTACGGATCCAGGTTTCAAAGTAGAAGAAGTGGGAAACGTTATGCCCAATGATGTCATAAGTAAAAAGGTGTAGATAGGTTTCCTACACAATATTCGATCTTTAAAAACGGAACACTACCGCACACATAAATAACTAAATATTGCAATAGCACACTACATTACGATTAGACTTCAAAGTAGGGTGGCATGATTAAAATTACGCAAGCGTAAAAGAGACAAATGTAATTTGGGACAGTGCGTGGTCTTGTGTAGTAAGAATGATGTAGAATAATTAATCAGATATGAAATTATAACGTACACCGTGATTTATGCCTAAAAATGTGATTCACTCATGAGTTGACGTAGTAAAAGTAATAAAGTAGTAAAAATGCATTAAAAGTAGGAAAATAAAAAATATAATTAATTTTATTAAAAATTTTATATCAAATAAAGTGCTGTAACAATTATATACGTACGTATATACCACTTCGTTACGCTACAAAACAAATAAATTGAACTTATAATTAATAATGACAGTTAATTTCCCTTCCCTAAAACAAGAAATTATATGAACACCATTTGAATTAACGATACTCAGAAGAGACCTATCTGTTTTTTATATTCTTTGATCAGAAACAATATCACTTCTCTTTCAAACTCACTGATTTGGGTATTTTTATCCCTCTCGATTTTTTCTAACAATATATTTTAAAATACGTAATTTTTGAATTCGTAAAAATACGAAAACTAATTAAGGAAATGGTAAACAAATGAAATGTGATCCCTTTTGACTGTTGGAAACCTTTCTTGTGTAGTTTTTGCAAAATCTCATCACACACGACGGTATTTTCAGTGCAATAACAAAACACAAATAACTTACAACGTTGTTGTCAATGACACAACGATAGCGCGATGACTAAGCTCAGGTTTGCTAATTAGCATAGTTTTTACGTGCCACTTGCGGTGCGCGTATAACTTATCTACCTTTTTTCTTATAATATCATTGGTTATGCCCGTAAAACGGTCTAAGCAAATATTGTGAGCCCTTTCTTTTTAAACATTTGAATGATAATAGTCAGCAACCTGAACGAAGACGCCTACTTACAAATATGCTGAATGAGTGTTTTCAAGGTAATGCAAAAAACTAATTCTCTCAATACATAGATGAAAGTATGCTCCTCTTCAAAGGAAGATCTTGCTTGAAGCAAGCCTTTGAAGCTTGCCTCTCAAGCCTATAAAATGGGCCACAAAGTGTGGTGTAGATGCGATATTAAAACAGGATATTTGTATGAATGCGAGATCTATACTGGTAAAACTGGACAAGGAACTGAAATAGGTTTGGAAGCAAACGTTGTAAAGAATTCATCAAGAAAATTAATCCAAGAAGAATTTGTGAAACACATAACATTTGATAAGTTATTCTCTGACACTGCCTTATTGCAGTACCTAAACGAAAATGAATTGACGAACTTGTATGCCACTGGAACAGTGAGAAGGAATAGATGTGACTTACCATCTTTGGTTAAAAATAAAAAGAATCTAAAATTAGCCAGAGGTGAATTCAAGTGGAGAATCAAGAAAGATGTGGCATTCATAATATGGTAAGATACCAAAGAAGTATTGGTAGTAACAACTGCTTTTCATCCCAAAGTTGGTGTAACTGCAGTTTCGAAAAAACAAAAGATGGATCAACTCAATCAATCAGATGTCCCATGGCTATTCAACATTATACTGCAAGGATGAGGGGAGTTAATCGGTGTGATTGAAACAAATCAACATACTCAGTAGGGAGAAAAAGCAAGCGTTGGTGACTGCGGATTTTCTATTTCTTTTTTGATGCGTGTCTCACCAATTCTTACAATATACTGCAAGGATGAGGGGAGTTGATCGGTGTGATTGAAACAAGTCAACATACTCAGTAGGGAGAAAAAAACAAGCGTTGGTGACTGCGGATTTTCTATTTCTTTTTTGATGCATGTCTCACCAATTCTTATACTTTATATTCGGTGTTCTTCAGGAATAATAAAACTTTCTAATCTAGAATTTCGTGTGGCTGTTGCTAGAGGACTTATTTCAGAGTGCAACAGAAAGAGGGTATCTACATTGGGGCCCCATGTTCCTAACAGGAAGCTGTTGTCAGTATATGAAAATTATCAGGAATATATCAGTGTTGTCCCACCTGAAGTGCGCTATGAGAATGTGGGTTCTCATTTTCCTGTAGTATTGGAGTCATGCAGACGGTGCAAATATTGAAGCACAAAAGCTAATTACAAAAGGGAGAAAATAAATTGCGAAAAGTGTAGTGTTCCTCTTTGTATTGTCCCATGCTTTAAAGTTTAAAAAATATAACAAGCTGTAAGGGCGGAAGGAATATTCTTCCCACCGAGTATTCCGGATTTTCCGGACAGGTTTTCTAATTTTTGTAAACCTATTTCTAAAAGACTAATAAATAATATGATTTCAATAAAAAAAAATATTACCGTAGATCCTTATGCCTTAAACAGGGTATATTTCTGTATATTTCAGCCAGTATATTTCCACCAAATTATCCTTAGATTAATTATGAGTTTCACTGGACTAACAACTGTGTTTGTTTTAATCGATACTGGGTTTGCTTCACGGAACGTACACAGAGGGCATTGCTACGATAGTACAATAATAGCGGCACGACCACTGATTTCTCTTTTGTCGTTAGATCACAACTACCAATAAATCGATTACAAACGTATTACTCGTTTACCTCTCTGCTTCCTCAAGATATTATCCATCATTCATTCATAAATTACAGCCTATCAAAAGTTCGCTGTTCAACGTAGGGGGGTGGGGAATATTTGCCATAGCTCCCTCTCTTAACAAGTGGTTTCGAAACCGCAAGTTTTTTATTATTTGGAGTTGTTATCAGGAAGACACTGTTGCCTATCTCCTGTTTCATTTCATTCTGTCGTTTTTTATGACACAGACAGAGACAGAGTAGGTGACAGAGATTTTTGTATGAGGTCTTAGAGCTTCTAAGTAATAATACATAATATTTGGTAGGAGGTAGTGGTTCCTCTTTCGCCGCCACTACACGGTGTTATCAAGATCTTGTCTTAACTTCATGATTCTGAAATATTTTCATGATAAAGCTTTGTTGAATATAGTCGATGGGTCTCTGCTATGCAAGTGGTAAATCTATATGAATAAAAATCAGTTGCCGCGGAATCAAACCAACGGATGTTGAGAAGTTTGCGCAGACATTGCAAGTGGAAGCGATACAGCGTCCGTATGTGACGGCGGTAAACTGTCCATGACTTTGAAGAGTACAATATGTTAGGCAGCACTACCACCTTATAAATGTCAATTTTGGTAGGCAGCTTTAGGACATGTGAACCAAAGACCTTGCGATCCAGTTTACCGAATACCGCAGCAGCGGCACCGATCTGACTGTTGATTTCAGCATCAAGGTCACTCTTTGATGTTATCATGCTCCCCAGATAACGAAATGTATAGATTTGCTTAAGTATGTCATCACCGAGTTTGATGCCCAGTGTCTCTTGACCGTAGATATCTAGACATCACTTCCGTCTTTTTAACACTTATCTTTAGACCAAAGCTACGGCACGACTCATGAAAGGTGGTCACGAGCTGTTGCAGGCCAGCTGGGGAATCGGTCACAAAACATAGATCATCTGCGTAGACGATCTCTGTAATAAGTGCGTAAGACACTTTAGTACGGGCCTTAAGTCTGTTTAAGCTGAAAAGATTGCCATCATTGCGGAAACGAATGCGGATTCCTTCAGGGGTAGTTTTTAAGACTTCCTGGACTATAACTGCAAAGTATAACGCGAAAGGGTGGGTGCAAGAACACACCCTTGTTTTACCCCACAGGTAACGGGATAAAATTCTGACTGATCAGCGTTTACTGCGACGCAGCTCAGCATGTCGTCATGCAGGAGTCTCAGAAGTCTCACAAACTTCTCCGTGCATCCAATTTTCCGCAACACTATCCTGAGGGCTTCTCGCGGAACACTATCGAATGCTTTCTCAAGGTATACAAAACAGAGACGACCCTGTTTTCTGCTTTTTTCCTGCACTTCTAGTCGAAAGCCGAACTGGGATTCCGGCAAAATCCTTTCAGAAAGTTTCCTGAGGCGGTTTAATAGAAGTCTGGCGAAGATTTTTCCAGACACAGAAAGTAGAGAAATGCCACGATAAGAATTGCAGTTCGACCGCTCACCCTTGCCTTTATATAGGGCTCGTATGAGGGATACCTTAAAAGTATTAGGGACTTGTTCTTTTTCCCACATAATGACAAAAAGTTCCCGAATCGCCGAATACAAATCCCCACTGCCATACTTCAATAATTCACCCAGTATAAAATCAACACCAACCGCGCGTTTATTTTTCTGTTGCTTAATGGCAAGAGCAACCTCGTCAGGCGAGACTGGCTCATTGAGCTCGAGGGCGAAAGGCTGCTGAGGTAGGCAGCGAACTTGGTCTAGGTCAACAAAATGATCCACGTTAAGTAGGGTGTTGAAATGCTCCGCCCATCGCTCGAGTATTTGCTCCCTGCTTTTAAAAAGCGCTTCACCACTAGTTGAACTCAGTGGAACTTTTGCCATAGAGGACGTACCGAGTAGATGTCGCACCTCAGCATAAAACTCACCGAGCTGGTTGGTATCAGCGGGCAACTGCATCTGACGTCTTCTCCTGCCACCACTTATCTTTCGCTTGTCGTGTGAGTTTACGCAGCTCCAGATCACTATGACGCAACTCCTCAACATTTCCACTCTGATGAGTTCTACTGTGCTGCTTTAGGAGCCTACGGTGTTTATCAATAGCGTCCGTAAGTACCCTATCATTATCATCAAACCAGTCCTCGAGTTTTCGAACTTTCAAACCTAAAGTACTCGTAAATTTAGCAGTGTCGAGAACATGAGAAGATAGAGACTCCCAGACAGTATTGATCTCACCTGATTTTAGGTCGAGGGGCTGCAGAGCAGTGCTCAAGGTTTCGGCATATTTAGCCCTCGTGTTAGTATCTTGGAGTCGTTCAAAGTTCAGACGTATATGTTTAGCCCTTTCAGATCTACAAGGACGTGGAAGACGAAGATTTAATTTAATAACAACAAGCCTGTGATCAGTCCAACAGTGAGCACCACGCATGACACGGGTGACTAGGACTTGAGAGATGTCTTTTTGACGCATGATAGCGTAATCGATAAGGGGCCAATGCTTCGATCTGGGGTGCATCCACGTTGCCTTGTACTTGGCAGGTAATCCGAACACAGTATTAGTAATTGCAAGATCTAATGTGCACAAAAACTAAGCAACAGTTGGCCGCTGCTGTTCATTTTACCAACACCATGTCTGGCCAGAACTTTAGGCCAGGCGTCATAATCACGTCCTACTCGGGTATTAAAGTCGCCCAAGAGAAGGATTTGCTCCCTTGGACGGATACTATCTATGCACCGCGTCAATTCTTCGTAAAATTTGTCCTTAATTTCATCAGACTTGTCCAGCGTAGGGGCATAGACACTGATGACATTCAGATAGTTTTCACGTCTCATGTAAAGGCGCAATGTGGTAATGCGATCCGAGACGTGTACAGGGTACTCTTGTAGTTGAGCAGAAAGGCAGTTCTTGACAGCAAAGCCTACACTAGACCTTCGCTGCTCTGAGGAAGCGAGTCCTTTCCAAAAGAAAGTATACCTGCCGCCGTGTTCTACCAGCTCTCCTTCATCGGGGAGGTGTGTTTCGCTGAGTGCAGCCACATCAATATTATAGCGACTTAGTTTCCGAGTTACGATGGCAGTTTCCCGCTCAGGGCAGGCATTTTCTTCGCGATCAAGAAGTGTGCGCACATTCCGCGCGTCAAATGTCATTGATTTTGATAAATTAAAATTTTCATTATTTTTTCTGTGGCGTCGACCGCGGATTTGTGATACGGAGGCAGCCGCGGTTGCTACCATCCTAAAGGGTTGGAGTGAGCATTTGTTTAGGGCACCTTTTCTAGCTCCCTTCCCGGCTGAGCGAGGAAAGCAGTGCCTCCCTGAATAGGGCTGCTTTGTCACCTTGGGTGCTGCCGAATCCGATCCGTCACCCCGATGCGGGGCAGAAACGACCACGATGTATACTCCACCCCCAAGACCGCCTTCGTGCAGGAGTCAGACAAAACCCAACGAGCATCACGTTAAACCTCTCTACCTTCTCCCATCGCCGTAGGACATTGACTTAGATCGGAGTCCTAATTGGAAGCAGGTCAATTGCGCAGGAGATATTAACATGCACAAGTGTACGCGCGATCACAGGTGCACGTACTCGTCTCTGTCCCCCTGGACCCAGTGGAACGGAGATCGTTGTGACCGGAGAGGGACTCGGGCAGATGAAACAGTAGGTATTAGTGAAAAAGGTATAGGGGGTCAGTCCTTTTCCACACTCCCATTAGTCATCCAGTCCATGGGGTGGTGCTATTCTCCGCCGCACACCACACGGCAAAAAGTTCTCTTAATCAATGACACAGAACACTCTTAAGCGAGATCAGTGACGTCACGACAGTGCTTATATGGTGGACAGCGTTTTACAGATTTGAGGCACAGACAAAAAAATATTCTTGAAATTGAAACATAAAATTTATTATGCAATTTCATGAATAGAAATCAATATGTCTCGTTTACTTTTCACAAAACCTATCATAAATACATATTTTAAATTTTTTTACATGCTGTAAAATACCCTATTATAGGTTCCTTCTCTACATACATACTTATGCTGAGAAGGAACCTATAATTTACTCTTAGTTAAATTAATTTAGTCTATGTCTTAAGCGCCTTATTCATTGTTTATCTTGATGTACGTCCCGTAAAGGTCATGGCGTGCATCGTGCATGGACAGTGAATAAGGCGCTTTAGTAAAATTATGGATTTTGATTAATCTGGTTTGTAATACTTATTTATATCAATGAACATTAATGAAAGCTTTATTTGACATCTTACAACAAAAGCATAGTCGTATATTTCATTTTAGCGGGTTTCACAGCGAATAATAACTGAAAACATGTAACCAAGTACCCTTTTGAAATATTTGTATTTATGTATTTAATTATTTTTAGTCTAGACGACACTGGGTTTGCTTCACGGAAAGTACACAGAGGTTACTATTACGATAGTATAAGAACCGGTCTGCCTTCCTCTTTTCTCACTCTTCATATAAACTAACAATACATTGATTACGAACGTATTACCCGTTTTCCTCTTTGCTCCTTCCAGATATTATCCATCATTCATTAATACATTACGGCTTATCGATGGTCCATTTCTGAACTTAGATCTTTTTCATAGATTGAATCAATGGAAATATATGCCATAGTTCCCTTCCTTAGTAAGTGATTTAGTATCATAATATGTCTAAAAATAAAAAGACAGTTGAACTATTTTCGAAATTAAGATGATTAAGTATATTACATTGCAAATAAACGTGTCGCAAACTTTAAAAAATAATAGTTGGTGAGGTATTAATACAAAATAGATTTGACAGTTACATAGGCGAGTTGGATCCTCATTGTAATCCGTACGTTTTACGCTAATTTACCGCCTGTTCAGCGGAAATTACAATCATCAACCTCAGACGAAATAAAAACTTTCGTCTGAGTCATCAACAGGACTTTAATAATATCGTGTAGCGGCAGCGTTAGGGAATCCACTACCTCTTAATCAGAAGCTCTACCTCGTATCATCCCGTGAGAATCGTAAAAGGTGACAGAGGCAAATGATAAACATTTGTTAAATGTCTAAATAATTAAAACTTAATGATTATATACACTTTGTAAATAGGTAATATAATATCACATACCATAAATTAGTTTACTACGTTCTGTCAATCTGTGGAGTAATTATTATATATACCTACTAAAGAGCAGATATTCACCAAGTTTAAATAATAATATATAATATATTATGGTAATAGTACTGGTCACAGTACTACCACTTCGCTTATCAAAGTCACAGACGATATAAGAAAGGGGGCGTGCTTAGATGAGCAAAAATTAACAGTGGTGGTGCTTATTGACTTTTCAAATGCTTTTAACACAGTGGATCATGGTATCCTCCTATCCATCCTTAAACACCTTAAATTTTCATCCCCAGCCTTGATATGGTTTTCTTCTTATATTCGCGGTCGCCAGCACTCGGTTCGCTCAGGTCAGCGGTTTTCTGCATGGGCTGAAATTGAATCTGGTGTGCCGCAAGGCGGAATACTTTCTCCTATTATGTTTTCCTTATTTATAAATTCTATCTCCTCAGTTTTAGATTGTTCGTACCACCTGTATGCGGATGATCTCCAGCTCTATGTACAGTCAAGCTTAAATAATCTTAACTTTGTAATACACAAACTAAATGATAACCTGGAAGCCATAAGAGATTGGTCATGTAAATATGGCGTTTCTGTTAATCCTGCCAAATGCAAAGTAATAATATTCGGAAGTTCGCAATTATTGGCTAAGGTTGATTATGGAAATCTCTCTCCTGTAATTTATAATGGAACTTTGATTCCATATTGTGATTCCATAAAAAATATTGGCCTGAACAGGATAAAACTATGACCTGGAAATTGCAGATCTCTGCAGTTAGTCGTAAAGTTGTTGCTAACTTGCGTTCTCTTTATCGTCTGAAAAATTTCCTCCTTTGAAAACCAAGCTTACGCTGGTTCATTCCCTTATTCTACATACTATCGACTATGCCGATGTATGTTACCCAGATCTGTCAGAAAATCTTCTAAACAAGTTGGAGCGCCTTCTTAATAATTCCATAAGGTTTATTTTTGGTTTACGTAAGTATGACCACATATCATCCTATCGTTCAAAGCTTAAATGGCTACCTATACGTCAAAGGCGATGCTCTAGAATTTTACTTGTACTTTATTCAATTTTAAACCATCCAAGGTCGCCTCATATCTTAAGGATAATTTTCATTTTTTTCATCCGATCGACGGTCGAACATCCCGACAGTCAAACCGTCTGAAGTTAAGGTTTCCACAGCATAAGTCAAATTTTTTTAGGTCGTCTTTTACGATACAAGCTATACAACTTTGGAACACCCTCCCCAACGATATTAAGAATGCCACAAATAAAAAAGTTTTCAAAGTTCTTCTCCAAGAACATTACCTGAAGGAAACTACTAATTAACATTATTTTTTCTTAATTTTTGTCTTTCTTTTCTTCTATTTTACTTCAGATATTTATTTCATTATATATTATTCAAACATTATATTATATTTTATTTATTTATTTATTTTCCACTATACAATTATCTTTACAGGTTTATCACCTAATGCGATAATGTAGACAACTATTTTACCAACTCCAACTAGAAAATTCTTTTCTTCACGACCACAGTTACAAGCTAATAATTTTCGATTAAAGATATGTTCTTATTGCTATTTCAAACACGTATCTATATCACAGCAGGACCATAACTAATTTCAAATAGAGCTCTTACTATGAACCCACCCCGAGTACAACAAAATATATCTATGTTTTCTGCTATACGGTTGAGGATACGGAGGGCCCGCGTAAAGGGTGGTTCACCTTGTTTATATATAATATATTCATTTGGATATTTATTTACGAAGTTTATAAGCATGTATATATATTATATATATATGTATGTATTATTGTACGTATATTTGTATACTATATGTGTTTATATTTAAATGTAATGTGTATGTATGTACTTTGCATATATGTATATTTTAATGTATAAGCAATTATTTACGTATAATGGTCGCACCTGCCAACAATTGTCCTTGGCACCCAGGGTTGACTGGCAGAGAATGCCACATGGTATTAAGTCCGCCCTATGTACCCTTTAGCTTAAGGTGTTACGTGTAAGTTTTTAAATAAATAAATAAATAAATAAATATGTAATATATAATATTTTTTGAAGTAACCTACGTAACTTACGTACTTAAGAATAAGTACCTGTATGACCGAGCTTCGCTCGGTTTTAATTAAAAAAATGATGCAATTAGTTTAATTAAAATTTTCGTATTTTTAAAAAATACTAAAAAAAAAAGGGCTTGAAATAATAGATTTTTTCACAAAAGAAGGGAACTTGAAAAAAAACCAGTACGCGAAAGAAAGTAGGCATTACGATTGCGCGACCGCTCGTTATAGCTATTACGATCATTTACACAATGCCAAAATTTACCTACTTACATTGTAGCAGTTTTTCATTACCTGAAAATCCGGACGAAAAGAAATTTTCTAAAAATAAATCCTAGCTATATCGATTTATTGCCCCCAAAACTCCCTGGACACTAAATTTTATGAAAATCGTTGGAGCCGTTTCCGAGATTCCGATTATATATATACAAGAATTGCTCGTTTAAAGGTATAGGATACGAACTCGTTGTCATATAATTACAATAAAACACATTAAAATTTCGGCATAAAAGGATTTTTTTTTGTTTTATAGAGGGCTATTTCCTATTTCCCTCTTATACATTTTACCATTGTTCGCATTGGTCGTTTAGTAAGCTGACAAACGAGTACACAGGCCACTTGATGGCAACCTGATGCTAAGTGTTATTCGATTAGGAATCAAAGTTTAATTCAACTGAACACCTCAATCATTTGAGGTTTAGGTACTAGATTAAGGCTATGGTTTTTTTCTTTGATGATGGAATCACATGGTTGTACTATTGCCAATGTCGAGCAATGGGCGGTTATCACGGACATATATATATATATATATATATATATATATATATATATATATATATATATATATATATATATATATATATATATATATATATATATATATATATATATATATATATATGGAGGTCAGTGGCGGTTATCCTTCAAAATAATTTGTTGAAGAAC